AATTTACAATTTAAATGACAAATAAAATTAGTTCTCATCTTACGGTAATTGGAGTAAAATAGTAATTATATTTGATTATCCTGAAATCAGTCTGCCCTCAATTATGAGATGGATAAAATTATTTTTACTTATTTAAATCACGTGAATTTTTTTCAGTTTGACATGTTATGTTGTTCTGCTATATTTTCGATTTGGCCTCTATTTGTCATCTTGGATTATAAGGGGTGAAGAAAGTTTTCAATGTAGGTCGATGTTTCGCAGTAGTGCCCATATGAAGGTACTTCCTGATTTTACCTTATTTCAAAGGATTTGGCTAAAAATGTGTATTTGTGGGAGTGAAAATCGTACACAAAAATTTCAACATATCTACAAATAGTACCCCCACAAGTCCACCTTTTGGCGGACTTATGAGAACTCTAATGCACAATCTGAGGTGTTAATGGGTTTAAAAAAGTAATTAACTTTGGCTATTCTTAAATCATTCAGCCCTCAATTATGAGGTGTACAAAATACAGTAAATTCCAAATTACTGCTCATTTGACTAAAAACTAAAAATTAATCGACCAGTACATGAACACTTATAACAGTCATATCTTTGAATAATTAGGCTTTGACAAATATGCATAATAGACTAAAACTACGGGCCGGCAACGCGGACCGGGCCAGCTAGTATATATATAAAAGAAAGTTGTGTTAGTTACTACGCTTATAACTTAAGAACCGCTGGATTGATTTTAACGATTCATACAAATTCGGAATTGTCTCCTCTCCGAAAAGGATAATATCCAAAACAAGTTGAAGATTTTTTCAATGTGTTATTCTTCTTTTGTCATTTTTTTTTTCAATTTGTATTATCTAATTGAAAAATTTTCACTATATACAAATTTTCACCAAAAAATGAAATAAGTGGGAAATACGATGTTAACTGACATCTACCTTTCAACTCCAGGGCTGGAAGATGCGAACACATTTGAACAAACAAAAATTACCGAAAAAGCCTAATGGGGCTCATTTCAAAGCGTGGAACTACTTCTTTCCTTTCACAATAATCCGTCCAATGTACAATCAGAAAATACCAAATAAAAAGGGTGGAAAATAGTAGAGCGAATGGGACTCTAAGTAAGAAAAGGATTTCTATCCTTCCAGAAAATCTTCCCAAACATTCAAGATACCTTAAATCGATTTTGCCGTTCATGATATCGATCATAATTCACGGATAAGGGTACAACCCGATTTCATATTTATATAACCATCGTATGATTTAAGCTATTTTTGGTGTCTTGGTCACTTTTTTAATATTTTGGCCATTGTTTGGCATCTTTGTTTCTAAGGAGGTGGAGAACCTCTTCGCATAAAGTTTGAAATGTTCAGAGTAGGGCCCATTTCGGTCTTGACCACATTCATTAATTGATTTGGCTAAAAATTGTATTTATGCTACTCTGGGGTAGGGAACCATCATACAGATAATTGCCACATAGTACTTAATTTAAGTAAAGTCCCCACATTGGAGTATCCCCAAGTCCACTTTCACATCTAATTGGTGGTCAGAAAAGAAAATTTTGTTTTCTATTGAATTTGTAACCCCCAAGAGAATATTGGTTGGGCCACGTTTTGGTATAACCCTTATATAAATGTATCCCTGATTTCAGCTGTGACCGTGGTGTTGGCCACGTTTTTCAACTGATTTGGCCATTAATTGCTGTATTTAGGCTACTTTGTTAGTAGAGAACCATCTTACAGAAAAATGTCAACATACGTAAATATTTTGGTACAGTCCCCATATAGTCTCCAGGCCCGCCGATCTATAGTGATGTTTTCCGATTGGCGGACAACAACGCGGGTATTGTTTAATCGTCATTGAATTTTACTATGAACAAGAACATAGACTTTTTGGGGACTCTAATGCGCAATTTGAGGTGCTATGGTAATGGGTGTAAAAGCGTAATTAACTTTGATTATTCAGAAATTATTTTGCCCTCCTTCCATAGTTATTTATTTCTATTTAGTCGAATCAATATTTAAATTTTAATATGAGCTAGATTTGTGAAATATTATGCTATGCAAAATTTGCATTAAAGACTAAAACTACGGACCGGCAACGCGGACCGGGCCAGCTAGTAGAAAATTTTGTTTTCTATTGAATTTGTAACCCCCAAGCGAATATTGGTTAGGCCACGTTTTGGTATAACCCTTATATAAATGTATCCCTGATTTCAGCTGTGACCGTGGTGTTGGCCACGTTTTTCAACTGATTTGGCCATTAATTGCTGTATTTAGGCTACTTTGTGAATAGAGAACCATCTTACAGAAAAATGTCAACATACTTAAATATTTTGGTACAGTCCCCATATAGTCTCCAGGCCCGCCGATCTATAGTGATGTTTGCCGATTGGCGGACAACAACGCGGGTATTGTTTAATCGTCATTGAATTTTACTATGAACAAGAACATAGACTTTTTGGGGACTCTAATGCGCAATTTGAGGTGCTATGGTAATGGGTGTAAAAGCGTAATTAACTTTGACTATTCAGAAATTATTTTGCCCTCCTTCCATAGTTACTTATTTCTATTTAGTCGAATCAATATTTAAATTTTAATATGAGCTAGATTTGTGAAATATTATGCTATGCAAAATTTGCATTAAAGACTAAAACTACGGACCGGCAACGCGGACCGGGCCAGCTAGTAGATGTATAAATAGATTAAAAAGTATGCGTGATCAGTTCCTCAGCCCCCAAACAAATACTTAGGGTTGGAGGGAGGGTCAACAGTATCTCGTGTAAAAAATTTTAAACCAATATCTTGTTTATTTGGGAAATATAAGGATTTTAGATAAATCGAAATAGTGGGCGTAAAAAGGAGGCGTGGTCAATATTTTTTCTTTAAAAACCTAACTCGGGGTATGACAAACGTTTGTACAAAAAATTATGCAAATCGGTCCAGCCGTTTTCAACTGATTCCGTTACCAACAAACAACAATTGATTTTTATATATATATATAGATAGAAATAGAATAGATAGAAGATATATATATATATATATATATATATATATATATATATATATATATATATATATATATATATATATATATATATATATATATATATATATATATATATATATATATATATAGATATATATATATATATATATATATATATATATATATATAAATATATATATATATATTTACTAGCTGGCCCGGTCCGCGTTGCCGGCCCGTAGTTTTAGTCTATTATGCATATTTGTCAAAGCCTAATTATTCAAAGATATGACTGTTATAAGTGTTCATGTACTGGTCGATTAATTTTTAGTTTTTAGTCAAATGAGCAGTAATTTGGAATTTACTGTATTTTGTACACCTCATAATTGAGGGCTGAATGATTTAAGAATAGCCAAAGTTAATTACTTTTTTAAACCCATTAACACCTCAGATTGTGCATTAGAGTTCTCATAAGTCCGCCAAAAGGTGGACTTGTGGGGGTACTATTTGTAGATATGTTGAAATTTTTGTGTACGATTTTCACTCCCACAAATACACATTTTTAGCCAAATCCTTTGAAATAAGGTAAAATCAGGAAGTACCTTCATATGGGCACTACTGCGAAACATCGACCTACATTGAAAACTTTCTTCACCCCTTATAATCCAAGATGACAAATAGAGGCCAAATCGAAAATATAGCAGAACAACATAACATGTCAAACTGAAAAAAATTCACGTGATTTAAATAAGTAAAAATAATTTTATCCATCTCATAATTGAGGGCAGACTGATTTCAGGATAATCAAATATAATTACTATTTTACTCCAATTACCGTAAGATGAGAACTAATTTTATTTGTCATTTAAATTGTAAATTGGAGACGCCATAAAGTCCATATTTTTCATCATAGTATAATTCAATGACGATTCAACAAATATTCGGTCACGTGCTACTTTCTTATATTTATAATTTGTTCTTGTTTTTCACAATTTATTTGATTTGGGATGTACATCTATATCTACGTTCCCAACCAATATTCTCTTGGGGGTTACAAATTCAATAGAATACAAAATTTTCTTTTCTGACCACACATTAGATGTGAAAGTGGACTTGGGATACTCCAATGTGGGGACTTTACATGAATAAATTTCTATGTGGCAATTATCTGTACGATGGTTCCTTACGCCAGGGTAGCATAAATACAATTTTTTAGTGGTCAAGATCAATATGGGCCCTACTCCGAGAATTTTCTACTCCCTTAGAAACAAAGATATTTGGCCAAAAATAGAAGAAAATGACGAAGACTTCAAAAATAGCTTAAATCATACAATGGTTATTTATGATCGATATCATATATCATATTGCAGGTCATGCAAAAGCGATTTAAGGTATCTTAAGTGTTCGGGAAGAATTTTTGGAAGGATAGAAATCCTTTTCTTACTAAAAGTCCCATTCGCTCTACTATTTTGCACCCTTTATATTTGGTACTTTACTGATTGTAGTCCCAAAAATTTTTGCATTTTGAGCTCTCATTGGACGGATTATTGTCACATGAAAGAAGTAGGTCCACGCTTTGAAATGAGCCCCATTAGTCTTTTTCGGTCATTTTTGTTTGTTTAAATGTCTGCGCATCTTCCAGCTGAAGCACGATGTAGGCCCTGGAGTTAAAAGGTAGATGTTAGTTACAATCGTATTTCGCACTTATTTCATTTTTTGGTGAAAAATTGTATATAGTGATAAATTATTCTTTATTTCGTTCACAAAAAATCCACTGAATTCAATATGATAATACAAATTGAAAAAAAAAATGACAAAAGAATAATAACAAATTGAAAAAATCTTCAACTTGTTCGCTGATTTTTTACAGCAACTGTTTAAAGATCCTTACAAAGTTTGTCAATAGAATGTACTTTTATTTTAAAATTCAATTCCATTGGACATTTTTTTCGATATTTTCCCGTTTTGAGAATTTTTGTAATGAGATCTCTTTTTTCGTAATTTTTTTTTTTAGCGATTTTAAAAAGGTTATTATCTTCTAACTTTGGTGTGACCGCGTTAAATTATTTCGATATCATCTATTCCGTTTCGCCACCACATAATTCGGTACTACACTTCCATGTAACCCGTCATCAATTTCAGTTCTCAAGAAATCAAGTCAATTAAATAAATTGATATTATGATATTCGAATTCAAAAATAAAATATAAAAAACACTACAAATGTACATTAGAAAAAAGTAAGTCAAAATGGAAAAAAATCATGCAAAATAAAACATTACTATTGTACATTTCAAAAGTCAAAATGAAAATGTTAATATATCACATTTTTACGTGATTTTTTTTTTGTATATTATCCTTTTCGGATAGGAGACAATTCCGAATTTGTATGAATCATTAAAATCAGTTCAGCGGTTCTTAAGTTATAAGCGTAGTAACTAACACAACTTTCATTTATATATATAGATGTATAGATAGATAAAAAAGTATGCGTGGTCAGTTCCTCAGCCCCCAAACAAATACTTAAGGTTGGAGGGAAGGTCAACAGTATCTCGTGCAATAATTTTTAAACCAATATCTTGTTTATTTGGGAAATATAAGGATTTTAGATAAATCGAAATAGTGGGCGTAAAAGGAGGCGTGGTCAATATTTTTTTCTTTAAAAACCTAACTCGGGGTATGACAAACGTTTGTACAAAAAATTATGCAAATCGGTCCAGCCGTTTTCAACTGATTCCGTTACCAACAAACAACAATTGATTTTTATATGATATGAAGCGCCGAGGATTTTTCCAATGTTCCCAGCGTATAATATTTTCAACACTTTACTCATTATGTTGCTTGCCTTTCACATTGTTTGGACGTACATGATACTTAAGATTGTAATAAATTCTTTACAAAAGGGGTTGGTGAGCATTTTGATTTAAGAACACATTGCAGTCTCATTGATAATTCATTTCCTTTACAGATGTCTGGTGATATAAGATCGAGCGACAGCGAAATCTCTGAAAAAAATCGCTCAATAATGGTGACGTTAAACCTGTAGATAAAATCCAAAAGAGAGCTCTAACCAAAACAGAATAACCAAATAAGCATAATTATTTCCTCTGTTTGTATTTCTTTTGTATGTTATGTACAAACTATGTATGTTGTAGTATATTTAAAAAGTTTTTAATGTCAAGAATCCAGGTATAAGTAAATTGTTTATTTTATTGTTGCTTATAATTTAAAAATTGTAGTAAGTTATCACTAATGTATGCGTTTTAGAGAGTTGCTTAATTGAATGAATATAAATATAGCCCAAAATACGAGGATTTAGATTCATATTGCCAAAATACAACTATATATTTAAAAATAAAAGGTCGTGTGAAATTAATTAGGGTTTCTTTAAAATATAAGTACATTTTCTGCATTTGGCGCTTATTCCAGTTTGCATTGTGTCTCCTGATGGAAAACAATCTGGAACTTCTTAATGCGCTGACTCATCTGGTCTACAAATTTGTTGACTACTGGTTCCATTGCGGCCTGAAGCTGTTAATGTGTCGTTAAACGTAAAATGGATATGTTGCACTTAGCAATCTTAATTTGAATAAATTCAATATGTATATTTAATATACCATGTATCTATTAAAATCTTAAATACCCTCCACCACACGGAAACTACTTGCAAAATTTACAGCGTTACCTAAAATTCGACGTTGCGCATAAATTTTTTTGTCCACAAAAATAATTGTTTTCAAATTTTAATTCAAGTTTATTAAATAAGTATGGAAAGGTAAGTATTACAGTTCGGAGGTAAGTATTTCCACTAAATATACTTTAGTTCAGGTTTATTTACAAATGATGCAAAAGGTATGTATTACAGTTCACAAAGGTGACTTTTCAGTTAAATATTTCTTTATATTTCACGGTAACGACGGGAGATGCCGTTTAATAACAAAACTTCGAATGACTAAAGGTGTAAAGCTGGGAATACATAAAACGCTTATTTGACTGGCATAAGTCATCGGCTGGATTCTTCGTAGAGGAACAAAGGAGTTTTAGGTTGACTTAGTTCGATTTTGACACTAGGCTCCTTTGTTCATTTCCGAAGAAGCCAGCCGATGACTTAAGCCAGCCAAATAAGCGTTTTATGTATTCCCAGCTTAAGTAAATAAGAAGCTTGAAGTCATGTTTAAGCATATTTTGTGACATTTCATAAAGGGATTACAGAGTCCCTCTAAAATCCTGCCGTCGTTTTTCATTATAATTTTACATTAATATGCTTAGCCTTGACTTCAAGCTTTTTATATACTTGCACACTAACAATGATACATATATGCAAATTCTAATGCTTGCATATATGTAAGTGTGATAAATATATGCAGTGCGTACCGATATTCTACAGTATGTGCTAAAAAAATAGCACATACATTTTTTGGTTAAAAATATAGCACACTTTTGAAAAATTGTTGGTACAGTCATGTACATGCCTCCCCCTTCGTGAAATCTGTGAAAACAAATCATTTTTAATTAATAGGCATATTTTTAATGGGACCAGAAAATACATATCAGAGTTTTGTATGGAATGCCTTTAAGTATTGCTGAATATGTATCTGCGCCCAATTCAAGATCTATTGGAATGTTGCTATGGGGTCGGGGTCAGCGACAGCTTGTTGATTGAAGTATGATGTTGGGTCTTCGAGAAGTGGGTCGGAGTAGGGTCCTTTAAAGCCCAAGCACCATTTATTTCTCAAGCCTCTTCATTATTTTAAAGGTTGCAAATCGTTTGCTTTGGTACATGAATGACCTAAGCCCCAGTCGTTGAAATGCTGAATAGGCAATTCTTGACATTGATGACGATTGGCAAATTAGGGCTCGCACACTTTTCCATGTATCGACACTATCAGTTGTGACTCGCAAAAGGGATAGTAGGGACAAACACCAAGTCCCAAACGAAAGGTGGTAAATCAATGGGTACTGGCTGTAGGTTGTTGTCTATTTGCGGTGCCCCATGTATTAATGTGTGGTGTCTGTAATCACACCTTCGACAGCCCGTCAAACTGGTGCAATCTGGGGCCAAATCACCGCATTCGTTATCGAGTTCTGTTCAGTATAGAGAAACATTTCGTTCGCTGTAAAATTTTGCATCACCGCATTCGATCGCAAATTATTTTGTCTACTACTTTTTTTACATTGCTGTAATAAGACATTTGAAGCGAAAGAGTGTTTCAAAATCAGTTTTTGCGATCAAAATATGTTATTTCTGAGAAATTTATACTGTTTCTGTGTGTTTACATGTACATGTACAAATATATTATGAATGCAAGTGTTTTTTCGCTTTCCTCGTCTTCGGACTCAGAGCATGAGTACAAAGTGGCATTAATAAGGAAAAATATTCGTGATAAATTTAGTCGTTGCCTGAAGTGGCGTAAGTGATTTTATTTAAAATAGAATAAAACTAACAATTTCACCAACTTCTTATTTCTTTTTGTTTGCCTTTTTTCCGCACAAAGATCACTACATACTTTGTTTTCGACAGCATACTACCTATCGTATACAACTTCGAGTAAAAACAATTCGTTAACGACCGCGGTGATCCGCGTAAACTACATTACGATGCTGAAGTACTCGATTTCGACTGCGGTGATTTGGCCCCTGGTACCAAATAACTCCTTGCCAGGCAGTTACGGCAGTACCCTCTCCGTTCTATTGTTTCATATGGTTGGTATGGGGTTTGCTCGCGAAACCTGGGGCATGTGTTAAGAGCGCAGTCATCTTGGCATAACCTACAGGAATACTGCCAGAAACTCGGTCGCTCTCTTGTGCTCTCTCGCCAACCCGACCTGGGGTCAAATCACCGAATTCGTCATCGAGTTCTGTTTCGTATAGAGAAATATTTCGATCGCTGTAAATTTTTGGATCACCGCATTCGATCGAAAATTATTTTGTCTACTACTTTTTTTACATTGCTTCAAACATATGGTAATAAGAAATTGGAAGCGAAAAACAATTTCATATATGTTATTGCTGGTGGTCTAATTTTAACGGTTCATACAAATTCGGAATTTTCTCTTTGCAAAAAAGGATAATATTAAAAAAAAATCGCGTAAAATGTGATATTTCAACATTTCTATTTTGACTTTTAAAATGTACAATCGTAATGTTTTATTTTGAATGATTTTTTTTCCATTTTGATTTACTATTTTCGAATGTACATTTGTAGTGTTTGCTTTTTCTTTTTTTTTTTCATTTTTGAATTCTAATATGACATGAAGTCTTTTTGGGGAGTATAATTCGACAACTGACAAAACTGTTATATTATGTATTTATTGGGTAAGTGGACCATACGAATAATATAATTTGATTAACTTTATTTAATTGGCTCGATTTCTTGAGAACTGAAATTGCAGGCGGGTTACATTGAAGTATAGTACCGAATTATGTGGTGGCGAAACGGAATAGATGATGTCGAAATAATTTAATTCTTCAAAATCGCTAAAAAAAAATCAGGAAAAAAGAGTTTTCATTGCAAAAATCGAAAAAAAAGTCAGTAGAATCGAATTTCAAAATAATAGTGTGACAAACTCAGTAAGGAACTTTAAATATTTACTCTTAAAATCAGGGAACAAGTTGAAGATTTTTTTCTTTTTTTTAATTTATTTTTCTTTATATTGTCAATTTTATACAATGTATCATTTTTTCAATTTGACTTATCATATTTTGTTCAATCGCTTTTTTGTGAACAAAATATACAAAAGAAGGTTATTGTTGGTTAATACGTTTACAACTTAATAACGACTGGCCTGATTTTGACAATTCACATCATCGGGCTTCAGTTGGAAGATGCGAACAAATTCAAACAAACAGAAATGACCGACACAGCTGTTTGGGGCTCGAAAAAGTGGACCTTCTTCTTTCATAATCCGTCCAATGACAACTCATAATGCGCAATCCATGACAACTCAAAGCAATCAGTGAAATGCCGAATAAAAAGAGGCCGTTCAATATGTGGACTATACAAAAAAAAAAAAAAAAAAAAATAAAAATAAAAAAAATACAAAATAAAATACCGAACCAAATTCTTCTGAAACCTTCAAGATACTTAAATCGCAGGTACCGTTATAAGGGGGACTATGAGCAATAGTTAGTTGAGTAAAAGCCAATCTGAGGTTTGGGAAATGTCAAATATAGCCCCCCGATTTCAATTATTTTTTCTTGCAATATTTTTCAAACTAATTTTGGCAAATTTTGATAATTTGAGTTTTTAGAAGGTATCCCCTGATTTCAGCTATTTCCGGGGTCTTGGCTAAACATGGCTAATATTATCAAAATATATACGAAGACGTTAACATGCTTAGACAATTTTCAGTCATAGGTTGTAGTAACCATCACCAACATAATATAAAAATTGAAACAATTCCGGTTTATAATGTCGCTAAAATAATCAAAATGTCAAATAAAGGAGAATGCCGTTATTCGGGGGCTATACGAAAACGTGGACTGACATGGCACATATTACAAACGTAACATATCTCCTGACAAAATGCACATGCGTCAAAAATGCTAGCAATCCATCTCAAGTCGTTCCAAAATAGCGTTATGACAGCAGACAGACGGACATCACCTAGAATTTTACGCTGATCCAGAATATATATACTTTGCAGGGTCTTACATGAGTATTTCGAGGAGTAACAAACGGAGTTACAAATTTAATATACTCCTCCACAGAATGATGGAGGGTATAAAAACTGAGCCGTTCTCTTTAATGGAAAAAGAGGATTACGTTTGTTAAAACACTTTAAATCGACCGGTATTTTCATTTTCATTTCCTTTACAGATGTCTGGTGATATAAGATCGAGCGACAGCGAAATCTCTGAAAGTTCGGAAAGCCAAAAATCGCTCAATAATGGTGACGTTAAAACTGTAGATAAAATACAAAAGAGAGCTCTAACCGAAACAGAATAACCAAATAAGCATAATTATTTCATCCGTTTGTATTTCTTTTGTATGTTATGTAGAAACTATGTATGTTATAGTATATTTAAAAAGGTTTGTAATGTCAATAAACCAGGTATAAGTACATTTATTTTGTACTATAATATTGAAATAATAAATGTTTATTTTATTGTTGCTTATAATTTAAAAATTGTAGTAAGTTATCACTAATGAATACGTTTTAGAGAGTTGCTTAATGGAATGAATATAAAAATAGCCCAAAATACGAGGATTTAGATTCATATTGCCAAAATACAACTATATATTTAAAAATAAAAGGTCGGGTGAATCTAATTAGGTTTTCTTTAAAATATAAGTACATTTTCTGCATTTGGCGCTTATTCTAGTTTGCATTGTGTCTCCTGATGGAAAACAATCTGGAACTTCTTAATGCGCTG